CTCTCTCTCTCTCTCTCTCTCTCTCTGTGTGTGTGTGTGTGTGTGTGTGTGTGTGTGTGTGTGTGTGTGTGTGTGTGTGTGCATGTTTATATATCTATCTGTAATGACCTGCAATGATGTTTCCCTCCGAAAGGAGGATGGTACGGGTTGCTTAGGAGGCCGTGCGGCCTGGAAGTCACCGCCCAAGAGGCAAGTTGCACCGGTATATCTCTGGGAAGAGCGCCTAGCTCTTCCTCATTTGCAGTGTGCAAGTTTGGACGTCACGCTGCTGAAGCGCCTGGTGGCAGAACGCTGGTGTGGAGCGCTGGGAGGAGGACCACCTGGGATTCCACCTCGGCTATGGTGGATAGCGTCAGGTAGGAGGAGGAGAAAGAAGGGGACTAGGAAGAGAGTGATAGGGGTACTTACCGGCTATGATGGATGTCATGTTCATCCCCTTGGTAGAAGCTGCACCTGGAAGGCCCCAGTAGGGGTTGCGCTCCAAGGCTTCAGGGCAGAGTCAGGCATGGCGGCCTGAGTTGTAGAGCCCTTGTGCAAGGCCTCTATCCCAGTGGTGGTAAGAGAACCACCGGGATTGAGGCTTTGTCAGCGGGCCGCTCCATCTATTGGTGGGGAGCATCACCTGCTGGAAACCGGGTCCAGCGTCCCTTGAATACATCTTTCTTCGAAGTGAGCCATGATAATGTGTATCCCTGCCAGCATTTATTGCCCTGGGCTGCAGGGGATTGACTGAGCAGGGCTGGAGGTGGTCGGGAGGGGGGCCACTGCCTCGGGTCCGGGGGGCACCGGGCCTTATGGCATTGGCCGCCCCACGCCCCCTCCCTAGTACTAGTTCCTGATGATGCCAATGGAGCTCGGGGGCTTCGTTGGGCCTTTGAGAGTGCTGCCCGTCTCCCCCTCCTGCCCCTTTGATCAACCTGACAGCAGGTCCAACCTTCACTGTCTGTCCTTTCCCTGCCAAGCCCTCCTGCCCCTTTGATCAAGCCGACGGCCGGTCCAACCTTCACTGTAGGAAAGAAAGGGAATCGAAAAAGGGAAAAAGAAAAAAGGAAAAAGAAAAGAGGGGGAAAAAAAGAGAAAGGAAGCAGAAAGAAAAAAAAAGAAAAAAAAGGAAAAAAACGGGGGTGAGAAGGGAAGGGGAGGGGAGAAGAGAAGCAGTTGACTCCCTGCTTCGGCCTACCGCCCGGCTAATATTCTTGCAAGATTTCCACTACTGAGAGCGGGTGGGTCGGGAAGGGGTCTCCAAAATCTTGTGCTGGTCTGAGGGGGATCCCCAGATCAACGGTCGTCCACTCTCGAAACAGCAGCCTGTAGTCCCGCTTCATGTCTGTCGTGGGGACCTCTTCAAAGTTACAAACTCACTTGTATAAGATGGTGATTTCCAGATAACTTGACTACCCGTATCGGGTGGCTTTGAATTTGATCGTCGTGTGTCTTGTGAAGTGCAACTCCTTTTGAGCATGAGATGTTGGGTTGGTGTTTGGAGTTTGGACTCGTTGTGCATTTACATAAGCCACTCAACATAACTACGCTCGTGCCACCCCTCAGAAAAAGGAAAATCTTGATTACAAATTGCAAATCGTTTTTTTTTTCTTCTCACCAGGATTACCTGGAAGAGACCGTGGATGCAGATCAAGTGATGACATTGGCCGAGTCCCGAGGTTTCATGAGACGCGATCGAAAGCTAACGGCGAAAGGTAGCAAGCAAGAGAAGGGACAGGGGGATGCTCAGGCACGAATGGATACCATCAAGGAAGAAGAAGAAGATGGTTGGCAGTTCGCAGACTGGACGCCACTTGGGGGGGTGTATGTCGAGGCCCTGAGGATAATGCTGCGTCAGCAATGCGAAGCCATGGTGATGAGAAAACGGTGCAAGGAGGAAATTCTCACGATCGCGGATGACTTGTGGACTGGTGTAGTTCTGATGTCAGGAATCCATGAGAAAAATTTTGAAGAGTAAGGGCCTCCCTCCATTGCACAACATTCGAAATGTAACTGGACCTTCCTATTTATCCTTTTTTTTTTTTTTTTTTTACCATTTCTCGATTTATGTGTGTCATCCTTGCGCAGGGGCCATGCTAATCTTCTCTGTATCGTTCCAATTTTGACGGATGTCCCGAATCACACCTTGCTATTGTCCTGATACCTTTACAACGTTGGATCAAGTCCTAATGCATATGGCCCATACTGCACAACTTTCGAAATGTATCTGGACCTTCCAATGGTCCTTTCACAACATTGGATCAAGTCCGAATGTATATGGCCCATACTGCCCTCGAGGTACATGTCGCCTGTTGAGTAGTGGAGTGAGTCCCTAAGTTCCATAGAGGCACAGTAAAAGGGGGGGTCAGTAAAATCAATGGGCCTACCTCAGTTGGTACACCCATGAACTGTTGAAATACAGACCGGAGCTCGAATCCCGATGGAACCATGAAAGAAGAAATAATAAAAGAGGCAGAAGTTAGGAAAGGCAAGGAAGCACTGCATACGAAGAGGCAAAAGAAAGACTTCAGTGTGCTCTTCATGTTTATCTTCTCTGAAACCCGCATACATAGCTGCTTTTCCAAGTATAGGGTTCGTGTTCACCCCAGCGAACCCATCGACCTTTGTCTATCATCGAGATCCGAAACCCCCAACACCCTTTACTCTTCTGCTTTGTTGCATCTTTCCTGTCACCCCAGTTGCGACACTTCCTGTGTGAGAGGTACTCTGCCCGGATATGCTTGGGGGCCACATGTGTGTTTGGTTGTATGCATGTATATGTCTTTATGTCTATATACACGGTGGCCGGCGTTCGGGACGGGCCGAACCCCCGAACGTACGGTACCCCTTGGGGATGCGTTGGGCTGTTCACGCCGAAGGCGGACCCAAAAAAAAAAAAAAAAAAAAAAAAAAAAAAAAA